GAGTGGGGGCGGGGGAGGGTGCAGATGCTACCAAGGGCCAGATCACATTGCCAGATCACACGGTGAGGACTTGTTTGTGCCGAGGCACTGGTGAGCCATTCAGGGTTGAGCAGGGAGGGACAGATGGGCTGGTCTTCACTGTGGATCCATATGGAATGAGTTGGGAGAGCCAGGGAGGGAGGCAGAAGGTGGCTGGTACAGTCACCCAGGTAAGCTGCTGGCGTGGGGACAAGAGCACAGGGTGATTAGAAGAGGAGGGAGTAGACAGCAAGGATGTGTAAGCAGTGATATGTCCCTGGTTGGTGGCTGGTTAAATGCAGGGGCCAGGGAGGAGGGACCAGGCTCCTGGCTGGAGCATCTGGGCAGAAGGGGACAGCAGCCAGTGCCACCATGGTCTCCCAGGAAATAGTCTCGGGCTTTGCCATCTGCTGGCCATGTCCGTAACTGCACCGGTGCTTTCTGTGAGCTCTGTTGGGATCACAATTCCTGATTCACCTGCTCAGAATGAACCACCACCCCGTGTGCGTGAGTGAAGGCAACCCCAACTCTCCACTTCCACCTCTCCTCCCCGTGCTCCCCGTCATTGGTCCACGCTTTACCCTCCACCGGAAACACTTCTCCTGCCACCCTCTGTGCTGCTAGGCAGGGCTCAGCCCCTCTACGAAGGCTTTTGTGGCTCCCCAGCTGCCCCCAGCTGGAGGCCCCCAGGTCAGCTCCTTCTTAGGGCTCAGAGCACACCCTGCTGTTGGGATTTAGGGGTCCCCACGGTCTTTGTCTTTGTCTGCAAACCCCCCACCACCACCACCTCACTACCAGGCGTGGGGACAGCGAGCGTGGGAAGATGAGCACTCAGAGTGCCGGGAGACCAGAGGATGAGTGTGTGACTTCAAGGAGCCAGCGGGACGGGGGACAGACGGACATATGATAGGAGTGGTGGGGGCAGGTGGGGAGGTTGGGGTGGATGAGTGGGGTGCATGAGCGACTTTCAGAGCCATGGGCTCGTCCAACATCCCCACTTTGGGTTGCAGACTGATGTCACTTCTTAGAAGAGACATGGCTCTGCCTATGGCTTAGCGCAGGCTCAGCGCCCTGCCCCGCCCCCTGTGTGCAGGTACCCAGCCCTGGCAGTGGGTCTAGGGTCCGCCCTGCAGGCTGTATACCTAGATTCAGCAGCAGGGGGCAGGTGTCTGTCCCTGGCAAAATCTGCTCTAGAGCCTGAGAGGTGGGGTGTGGGAGGAAGGGTGTCGGGAGGGCCCCACCCCAGCAGGGGTCTCTCAAGCGCAAATACTGTGGGATCCTCACCATGCCCTAGGCCATGGTCCATTGCTCTAGAACCTCCTCTACTTGCTCAGGGAAACTAAGGCCCCAAGCCAGGAGTGCACCTGCTGGCTCCATCTCTGCCCCGACAGGACCCATGCTTCCGTCTGGCAGCGTCTGTACCCCCACAGCACGATGGTAGTGGGGCTGCATTAAGCCATTCCCATCCCAAAAGGCTGCCACGCTCTCACTAGAGTGAGTTGTGGCTTCCAAAGGGCTCCCCGGCGGCTCGGCTTGGAAAGGGACTTCGGGCCAGAGCAGCGGCAAACACGGCCGTGTCCTCACCGCAGGGCTCTGAGCTGCCGACCACCGTCTCACTCCCCAGAGGAACAGGCAGAGGCGGCACTGCCTTGCCTAGATCGGGGCTGTCTTCCCCGTCCAGACCCTCCACTGCCAGGTGAGGTGGGGTGACAGAATCACGTGTCTAACCCACCCTTTGACCCAAGATGGCAGTGCCTGCAGTGAAAACCTTCAAACCCAAGCTAAGGGGGGGATGGAGAAGAGGGTAGGAGGGCGTCTCAGAGGAGGAGGTGGTGCCTAAGTGACAAACGTTTGCTACATGAGCCAATGAGGAAAGGCATTCCAGGCCCAGGGACTGGCCCAAAGGCCTGAGGGCATGGAAACGCCCCACAGGTGTAGGACAGTGGGGTGTAGGCGAATGGGAGAGGTGGTTGTTGAACCCCAAGCTACAGGTCCTGGACTTTGGAGAAGCATGAATTAAACTGTCCGGCAGTTGGAGGGGAAGGTGTCCCAGGAGGGACGCGTGGGAACAAAGGTGGGGAGGGCAGGGCAACCGCACTGACATGGAGGGTTGGCCCGGACGGGAACACACAGGGGGACGAGGCCAAGCTCCAGAGTTGGGGTCGCGACACCGCTCGGGCATTGTTGCTGCCCCGCGGCAGCCCTCTCCTCCTCCTCCCTGCACAGCTGAGGACAGACGGACAGCTGGAGGCTAGAGGAGCCACACTGCAGCAGGGCAACTCCATCCTCACTGGGGCAAACTTGGCCCAGGCCGCCGCAGGGAGTGAGGGGCGGCTTGCGGCCTGTTTACTCCCGAACAGGATTTCCTTCTGGTTTTGATGCATGGGAAAGGCACATCCGGAAGTAGGAAGCAGAACAGCCTCTGAAACTCGGCTGCGGGCCGCTCGCCTTGGAGCAGCCCCAGCGGAGCCCGGACCCGCGGGTTGTGGCTGGGCCCTCAGGGGAGAGGCGAGGAGGCAGCGCACCCGGACCGTCATCGTCTCTGGG